GTTGAAAATAAAAGGCTGGAAGATAATACCATCAGCAGATGGAGAAGGAGTAACAGTACAGAGGAGTAACACAGGAGCAGTTCTGTGGTGTGATCGAAATATAAGATGGAAGTTTACCTTTAAAAAAAGGCAAGAGATACAATGCCATTAGTCCCACTGAAAATACTCCCCATGCTTTGAATATGTTTATTCTTTTTGCTTCTTTCTGAAGTAGTCATGTAAATTATCTTCCTTGAGTGTCTTAATAAGCTGTGATAAACCAGATGGTGTCTACCACGGCTAAGAGCCATCGATCGATGGGAATATGGACTCTTAAAAACATTCCTGTGAGTCCTCATCCACATCTGGCATGGTGCAACTTCTGTCTCTTCCCCAATGTCAACATGACCACGAAATGGAAACATTCTGGATTGTCTCCGGACATGAGGACAGCCACACAAGTGCTACTAAAGACATGCATTTAAGAACATCTCCAGGGCCAGCCAGATAGCTGAGGGGATTAAAGCACCTGCTTAGGCAGATACAAGGACCAGGGTTCGATCCCCGGTGTGCCATGCCAGCCCCACCCCTGGAGGCGTGCTGAGACAGCGATTGAGACTGGGCGTGGTGGCACACAACTGTAATCCCAGAGCTTGGGAGGTTGAAAACAGGAGGATCACTATGAGTCTGCTCTGTATAGTGAGACCCTATACTAAATACATATTAAAAACAAAAAAGAACGTCTTCTGAACTACTTCAGAAGATAGCAAGAATAATGAGCAAGGTGTGTTTATAGTTAGCAGGAGTATTTTCAGGGCGAGTAAATGTCATGTTTCTTTTATTACAGCAAATTTAAAAAAATTTAACTAGTCACCATATTTTTGATGATACTCATTCTAGCCAACAGAGTTGACTACAAACTAAAACATGTCAGAAGAGATGAAGATGGCCATGACATGTTGTTAAAGGAAATTTTTGATCAAGTATAAACACATATTCAACAAATACAGCCAATAAGATCAAAACATAAATATTACTTGCCATAAAAGGACAGAGGGCCACCGAGTAAGTCATAGTGGGTGTCATGGCTTGAGTTTAGATGTCCCTCCAAAAGCCTCATGTGGTGATAGGTGGACCTCTCAGAGGTGGCAGGATCTAGAGTACATTACTACCTCACGGTTCACTGCTAGCAATTAAGGGTGTGAGTGCTATCCACCCTAAGGGAGCGTAGCCTGGATACAAAGTGAAGGACAGCCAGAGACCTGCTGTTAGTTATGTATAGTTTGTTGCTTATCATCTTCTTCCTGGTATGGATGTCTCTCCTCTGCGATGCCCCTCTGCCACACCACCCTGCCTTGGATCCATCTGACTATAGACTGAAACTTCAACAAACTGTGAGTCAAATAGGCCTTTCTTCCCTTAACTTCTGGGTGTACAACTAAGACTCACTTTGGTACCACAGAAGCAGATTTATTGTTGTGAGTATATCTGACTATGTTATGTAAGAGCCTCTGGAACTGACTTGGGGGGGGAAAGGTTGAAAATCCTAGAGATGCAGGCTGAAAAAGTAGAGCTGTAATGCCTTAGGCTGCATTTCATGGCAGATTCTGGTCAGAGTTCAAAAGATCAGAAGGCTGATAGAAGTAACGTCAGTGAAGTTCAGGCTCTGGAGGTTTCTGCTGGGAAGGACTGCATGGCCTGTTGGGCTGTAGACCATATGTGTTATACTTGGCAGGAAGACTGTCTACATTTTGCTCCTGTTGAGGGACTTTGTCTGCGATTGAGATGAACAGTGGTGGAGTAATCAATCTGGTTAAAGCAATTTCAAGAGCGTTTAATGTTAGGGTGGTGGCATGGCTACTGTTGGGGGATTTTAGCCAGATTTGTGGAGCAAAACAAAGTTTCCAGCAGAATGATTTCAAATGTTGTGAGTTCAGCCAGAAAGGAAGCACAAGAAAAGCTGTAGACTGCAACGAGGGAGGAAAAGAGATCTTGATTTTGAAGAAGGAACAAGAGAATAGAAAAGATACCCTGAGGCCATTATATGAAGACACAGGGACTCCCTCAAAATTGCAAAAGTGAATGAATTTGCTTTGAAAAGTGAGCTCAGAGCACCACCTTCCAGAATGGTGGGGGCATAGTGAAGCTGTTTCTCAAGATTTGGTTCATAGGTCCTTATCCCCTACAGCCAAGAAAGAAAGAAGCCTGACTTAGTAATGCTCTACCTGGTGGCCAACTTTGGCATCATCCACATGGTGCTGGTTTTTGGTTCATACAAAATGCAAGAGTTGTGGGATCCAGAAGGCTTCTATCCAGATTTCAGAAGAAGAACCAGGAGGCCAGGCAGTGTGCCGAAGAGGGCAGATGCTAAAGCTATGATTGTGAAGTCAACAGTGCAAGTGGAGAACCCAGCGGTTTGGAGAAACCAGGAACATAGATCATCTGAAGAAAACTGAAGG